TTTATTAGAAAGTAAAGTGCAATCTATTAATTTACATTAAAACGGATAAATTTGGATATTTTGTCCTAGATTCTGTACATGYGTTTCGAACCAACTGTACCCTCACAGTTAAAAAAAATAACACAATTATTTTTCTGAAATATATTTGATACTATTGTTTTACTCTTTTACTCATAACCTGACTGCTCTTTTCACACGGAGTTTGTGTGCACTTGCCCATAATTAAAATATTAAAATTAAAATTTATAATCAACATTATTTTGCAACATTTATGTGTGTTAAAATTATAAAAAACATAAAATATTAACAAAGTAAAAATATATGTTGTTTTTTTTTTTTTGTAATAACTAGGTGATTTAATGGTAATACTACGGTCTATGGGTGGTGCAAGCCATGCAATGAAAATATCAGGTTTAGGAGGTCTGCAAGAGTATTGTACCAAAACAGGGTTACATCAAAAATCAATTTTGGAAGCTTGGAAATTGAACAATCAATTAATTAATCAACTCAACATAAATGTGCCATCATTAAAATTAAACACTGATTTAGACATGACACCGCCTACACCAATACAAGTATGGCAGATAATAAATTACTCTAGATTTACAATAATGCAATATTAATTGTCTGTAGGTGAAACAAATACGACAAATTGTATTAGCTGGTATGTTGGACAGAGTTGCAAGGCGATTAACTACCAATGAATTAAATAGAAATGGCATAAGGCCAAATAAGGCTGCATATTATGCATCAAATTTAACAGCAATAGTATACATACACAACAGTAGTGTATTAAAAAGAAGTAAACCAGAATGGTTAGTTTATCAGGAAATATTTGAAGTACAAGACAAAATGTATATTAAAGGTATAATAATAATACATTTTAGTTTTACCAAAACTTTTTTTTAACTTTTATGCTTATACAAAATGAGATATGGGKTGGAGTGGCAGAGTGGACTAAGGCGTCGGTTGCGACRCACGCAGTCGCCGGTTCGAATCTCGGTAACGGGCGGCATCGCTCTTTGGGCATTTCGCGCGATGTCTGGAGAGAGAGGCCGCCGGCCCCCAACCGGGTATGGCAGAAACCCACGGGTGCCCATTCAAAATTCTGCCAAAAACCCACGAGCTAAAACCTTACAGTACCTTCCCCTACAGTTCCCCAGGCTAATGACCTCAGTTAACGAAGCCCTAACCATAAAAAAAAAAAAATGAGATTAAATATGTATTAATTAATTTATAAAAATTGTATTTTTAAGGTCTCACTGCAATTGAACCGGAATGGTTACCTGTATATGCTAATAAATTATGTAAAACATTAAAAGTATTAGACAATCCTATGCCTAGTTATGATGAAGAAACTGGAAAAATGTTCTGTACAGTTAATGCGACTTATGGTAATTTATTAACAAATTTTTGTCCKAGCTACACACTAATATTAGAATTGTTACTCAACTTCATACAGGTCAAGCTGGATGGTCATTACCACAAGCTGAAATCGAATTTCCTAACATTGATCAAAAATATTGTTGGTTAGCATTTTTTATATTGAATGGAGAAGTATTTCCAAAGTTGAAAGATTTTAGGCAACATTTGTTATCTAAACCTGATCTCATTGTAAAACCTTGGTTGAAATTGTAAGTACATATTATTCYAGATTTTATAAATAGTTGGGGAAGGGGTGTAGTGGCCGGCGGATTTAGGCATCAGTTTCGATGCGCACCTTCGCCGGTTTGAATCCMAGTATAGGCGGCATCGCTTTCTGGGCAGTTCACACTGTCGCAGAAAGAGGCCGCTGCCTTCATAAGGGCATGGCAAAAATCTACAGTTGCTTACTGGAAATTCTGCATAAACCACGTGTATTAAAAACCTACCCAACTCAAAACTCTTCAGTACACTCCCTACACCCAATGGCCTATGTTGCTGCGGGTTAACTAAATAAATAAAATAAAATAAATAATTGTATTATTTTATATCTTTTTATTTTTAGCTTAAAAGAATCATTTTATTTAATTACACAAACACTAAACAAAAACCATGATGATTCGGCGAAAAAAATTAAAGAGAATTGGTTAAAAAAGTCAACATGTAAATTTTTATTCATTAAATGATTATTAAGGGGATTTGATACCGTGATTTTYTGTCATTGTCTAGCATATGCGCGTCATAGGATTTTAGCCGTATTTTTTGCCAAACGTACTGATGGCTATAGCAAAGCGATAAGAATTATAAAAACAGATTTGAATTTGTCATATAATCTACTTGAAATCGACTTTCCCGAATTTTTGATTTTAACTTCAACAAAAATTTAAAAATTACAATTTTTAAAATAACATAAGCATAACATTAATTAGAATTTGGAAGATAATATCGAAAATGTTGAAAAGTCGATCTCAAGTAGTCTTGACGACAAATTTAAATCTGTTTTTATAATTCTTGTTGCTTCACTATTTCCATCGGTATGTTTGGCAAAAAATACGGCTAAAATCCTATACCGCGCATGTATTAGACAATGACAGAAAATCACGGTATTGATCCCCTTAATTTCAGATGTTAACAAAATTTGTTTTTTCATAGATTTATTGGAAGAATATTTGATATGGTTACCACAATCAGCACATAAAGAAGTAAAATTAATATGGCCTCCATTGTGAAATAGTTACTGACTTTGTACAGAATGATTTAAGTTAAATAAATAAATTATTATACAATTTCATCCTCATCAAGTTCTGAACCAACATCTTCATCAACTGTCATTTCATCTGAGCTTCTATTTTCTTTAATGGGCTTAGCTGTTTGACATTTTTTCTAGAATTTTATGTTTTGATCAGTTTGTTTTAAAATTACTATTATAAAATATAAAAGTCAAATAATAATGTAATTGTTACTTTTTCTTTTAATGCATTTCTCAATCCACTCGTTTGTGTTTGACTTATAGATGTCATCAAAGACAATGAAGGTGCTGAAAGCTCGAGACTCTTCAGTTCATTTAACATTTCAGATCTCTGAAAAATGTGTAAGAAAAAACAATAATACTTGTTATGAAATATAATAAAATACAAAATCTATTAGTATAATGAATTCCAAAAAAGGTTTGGAAAAACTGCAACCTTGAAACAATAGGACCACTGTGATTAGCCAATAGAAGGTACAGCAACAAACATTGCAAACAAGACTGTAAAGAGTGCAAACCAATACACGTTTTCATGGTGGTTTTTTTCTAAACTTATTTAGAATAGAGTGTGGGTAATAATAATACAAAAAAATTAAAACATTACCTTTTGGCTTTTTTGTTTTTTTTCGATAATTTTTAAAAGTGCTTTTCTTTGTCTACTTGTCAGCTTTTTTTTCTTTAAAGCTTCTGTATCTGCTTGGTTTACATTTTTTTTAGATTTATTTTTCTGTAAATTAGCATACAAAGTATTATTATTGTTGCATGGAAAAATAATAARTACTAAAATTCAAAATGTCTTGCCTAATCTCTCAAAAATAATATTTAGGTAGTATCAAAAATACTAATCTAATCTATACCTTTAAAAATATAATTTAACACAGTACAATATTAAGTAAGTACTGTGAAAAAAAACAATACCTATATGGCTACGTAATGACTAGGGCTCGGATTTTGTAGCAAATGCTTCTTTTGAGGGGAGTGTGATAGAAAGATAATTCTTATATATAAATACGTTTTGAATCGTTCTGATTTTAATGAAGTAAACTTTTTTCCACAAAATCTGCTTTTCACCCTATTTGATTATTTTTTTCTTGATTTTTACTTATTTTTCTTGAAAACTTAGCCTATTTCTATGTATATTATACGTCTTGGACAATATTATTATTACCAGAAATTATAAAACCAGTGAAAAAACCAGTAGTAAATATATGACTGATAAAATAACTGTTGTTATTGTKCCGAAATGTKTTATCTACAATTATCTATAGTTGTATTTAAGACTCGAGGAAAGGGAAAATTATCTGAATTATACCTACGTATTTTTGTAGCAGGTTCTAATAATTAAAGTAGCAAAATTGATTTTAGAAAAGTGCAATCGTGTTTTTTTAAAGAATGATGGATAGGYAGAACTTCAAAAAGTCAATAGTATTCATAATGGCACTGCATTAAACGTAAATGTGGAACTATATGATTCAAATGATTTAGTTTATATGAAATATGCACCGATTACATTGGTTGACGTGGAAAGGACTTTTTCTATGTATAAAAATATATTAGCACCCAATAGAATGCGTTTTAATGAAAGTAACTTGACTAAATATATGGTTGTAAATTCCTTTTTTAATATTTAATTTTATGTGTAATTGAAATTTGCTTTTTTAGAATTWAWTTRWTAAATGYTTTTTTTGGCTACTTAAAATGCTTTTTTAAGGATTTATTTTGCTACAAAATCCGAGCCCTAGTAATGATTAATGGATAATAATAATTAGGAACTTGTAAATTGTAATACATACCGCCATTAGATTTTTATTTGTCCACAGAAATCAAACTATTAATTATTTTATATTGTCGAGAAAATATGAAATTAAACAACAAAATGTAAAATTGGTAGCACAGTCCAATTTCGATTATTGATGACTTGTTGATGCTAGAAATTATTTCAATACAGAGGATTAGGTAAATTTCAGACTTCAGTTATTAAAACTAAGATTAAATGGCTAACTTAAGATATTCCTCCACAATGAAACCAATATTAAAAACAAAACTCTTTAACTACCCATACAAGAAATATAATACAGAAATATCTCAAATTTTTACTGTAGTAGTGTAGTACTGTGAATTGTGATGTGCAGTGTTTCGTGTTTCTTAGTTCTTACTTATATATTATTTTTCTATGGTTCTTACTGTTATGTCGTTATGTGTTTGTGACGTTTGTGTATGATAACAAACTATGAAACTATAATGTACCATGTGCGCGGATGTACCCACGATTTAAGATAGTACTATCTTAAATCGTGGATGTACCCATGAAGGCATGAAATGATAAAGCAGCATTATAATATTAATATGATTACGGGCAACCAATGTTTGTTTATGCCATAGACCTTAAAGAACACAGATATAGATAATAATATTTTATTATCTATATCTGTGGTTCAGACCACTGTTAAAGATATACAGGTTAGCTATCGCCCGCCAACCAAGCGGTCCGGAAGTGTTACCACCACAGAATATATTTCATATATTTCATATATTCTGTGCCCCGACTATAACTAGATACCCTAGTGACATTTTGATCCCAGGGATTTAATTGACGGGGTTCTAGCTGGTACGTCACCCGATAATACAGGACAATGGTATAATATAAAAACTGGCGAATTATTTTTTATCATTGCCCCCCGAGATTGTTAAAGTAGTTGCCTATTTTATTCCTTGAAGGCTTGAAATGTTC